TAGTTATATACATTCTGTTATAACATTGTATCATTATATACATCCTATTATACATTTATCATTATATACATCATATTATACATTGTATCATTATATAGATTCTATTATACATTGTATCATTATATACATCCTATTATACATTGTATCATTATATACATTCCATTATACATTGCATCATTATATACATTCTAATATACATTGTATCATTATATACATCCCATTATACATTGTATCATTATATACATTCTATTCTACATTGTATCATTATATACATTCTAATATACATTGTATCATTATATACATCCCATTATACATTGTATCATTATATACATTCTATTATACACTGTATCATTATATACATTCTATTATACATTGTATCATTATATACATCCCATTATACATTGTATCATTATATACATCCCATTATACATTGTATCATTATATACATTCTATTATACATTGTATCATTATATACATTCTAATAGACATTGTATCATTATATACATCCCATTATACATTGTATCATTATATACATTCTAATATACATTGTATCTCTCGAACTCCCAGCATAGAGAGAAAAAAAAATGTTTGTAAATACAAAAAATATATATATATAAATAAATATTAAAAAATAAAAAAAAAAAAGAAAAAAAATACCTAGATGAAGGTTTGATCTAGTTCAGTGCCAGGGTTAGTGTTTGGGTCAAGGTCACAGTGAAAGGTCAGGGTCAAAGGTCAGGATTAAAAAAAATTGTTGTCAGTTAGTGTCAATGTCAGTGTGTTTTAGGTAAAAAAAAAAGACAAAACAAAATGCGCACTATTGTTTCTGGGCTGTACTCCGGGTACAAACAACAAATAACATCCACATAGATGGTATCGCTGCGATCGTCCAGAGCTGGAGAATTTATTTTGGGTTGTTCTATGAAGGTAGGTTATGGTAGTAACAAGAAACACACAGCTAAATTAAAAAAATGATTTTTTTTTACTATTTTGGTCCAGTTTTCCTTTGATAATAAAAAATATCAAGAGATATCCATTACCATTTACCACCAAATGAAAGCCCAAATTTGTCCTGAAAAAATCGCGGTATAATCCATCTCAATGTACAAAGCAGTTGTGATGATACGGACGGTTTTACTAACACAGGTCAATGTTGCAAATTGTGCTTAGGCATTTAGATTTGTTTTACCCTCAGGCATGAAGGGGTTAACTCAGCTTTCCAAAAAATGTGTTCATTCATGAATAAGCTGGGGGGGGGGGCAATTACTTTTTCGCACAGGGCCAGGCAGGTTCGGACAGCTTTTTTCCTTTATTAAATCATTTAAAAACTGCATTTTCCATATCCTGGGGCTTATCTTCTGTAAAACATGAACAGATATAACGAGAACACTACGTATTCCACCCGGGACAGAAACAAAGTCTAACAGAACACTCCGGAGCATTTGTTAATATCTCTTCCGTATGATTTCTACAACGCTCTCATTGTTTCCCATAGTTCCCTCTTCGCCGGGCATTTTCAAGGCTACATTAGCAGCTGGAAATTGGAATATACAGAGATGTGAAATCCCTCCAGATTATAGAGGAAAGGCATTGTGGGAGCGCGGGCTGTGCTCAGGGACGTGCGGGGCATGTCGGATGTCTCCTTGTCATGGCTGATTGACTTCATATTAATTCCCACTTCAGATCCGTCTCTCCATCTGTTACTGCGATTTCCATGGCATGTGTCAGAACAATAGTCAGAGCGGACGAAGATTTATTGAAGTTCAACTCTTACGCCGGATGTACAAATGCCTCTGCCACTCAGATCTTCGTCGCGGGTAGACGGACAACGTAAACTGAAAACTACGATATTGACCGGGGAGCAATTAATGAGCGCGGGACTGTCAGGGGATCGCCTACGTACTGAAATTACATCCACGCATCTCAAGTCAATCTGGACACATGGAGATGGGAGCCGCTTGTTTTTTTTTTTTTCAAGCTGCAGGGCGAACATCATCTTGAGTCACTGGGGTTTATTTACTAAAGGAAAATCGTTTGCTTTGTGAGGGAAGTTGTACTTTGCAAGGGAATATTCCCCGGAGTTTCGTAAAAGCTCTGTTGACTTCCATTGTTAAATCACGTGCAAGCAACATTTTTTTTTTTGTAAAAAAATTCATATGGGTACAGTGTTGCATGACCGCGCAATTGTCATTCAAAGTGTGGTAGCGCTGAAAGCTGAAAATTGGCCTGGACAGGAAGGGGGTGAAAGTGTCCGGGACTGGAAAGGGGTGAAAGTGTCCGGACTGGAAGGGGGGGAAAGTGTCTGGGACTGGAAGGGGGGGGGGGGAGTGTCCGGACTGGAAGGGGGTGAAAGTGTCCGGACTGGAAGGGGGGGAAAGTGTCCCGGACTGGAAGGGGGGAAAGTGTCCGGACTGGAAGGGGGGGAAAGTGTCCAGACTGGAAGGGGGGGGCAAAGTGTCCGGACAGGAAGGGGGGGAAAGTGTCCGGACTGGAAGGGGGGGGGAAAGTGTCCGGACTGGAAGGGGGTGAAAGTGTCCGGACTGGAAGGGGGTGAAAGTGTCCGGACTGGAGGGGTGAAAGTGTCCAGACTGGAAGGGGGGGAAATTGTCCGGACTGGAGAGGGTGAAAGTGTCCGGACTGGAAGGGGGGGAAAGTGTCCAGACTGGAAGGGGGGGGGGAGTGTCCGGACTGGAAGGGGAGAAAGTGTCCGGACTGGAAGGGGGTGAAAGTGTCCGGACTGGAAAGGGTGTGAAAGTGTCCGGACTGGAAGGGGGTGAAAGTGTCCGGACTGGAAGGGGGTTAAAGTGTCTGGACTGGAAGGGGGGTGAAAATGTCCGGACTGGAAGGGGTGAAAGTGTACGGACTGGAAGGGGGGGGACAAAGTGTCCGGACTGGAAGAGGAGGGGGGTGTAAAGTGTCCGGACTGGAGGGGGGGGTGAAAGTGTCCGGACTGGAGGGGGGGAAAGTGTCCGGACTGGAAGGGGGTGAAAGTGTGATCCGGGAGTGGATGTGGTTAATGTTCTTCAAGGTCCTACCTACTTTCCTCAGGGCTTGTGTTGCTCCATGTGCTGGCATCCATCTTATGTGTCTGCAAAGCATTGTTGGATCCTTTATGCTTTCAGCCCTCTGCGGCTCCTCCTAGGAGGTGGCGGCTTATCACATTTAAGTCTGCTGTTTGTAGCTGTCCATTGCATTCGTGTGTCCTGTCTGTTGCACAGCAGCAAACTCCTGTTCAGTTACTCATTGCTCTCCTGGATACCGACTCGGCCTTTGGCAAAGACTCTCCTGGCTTCTGACCCCAGCTTTGATTCCCACTGGTTCTTGAACTGATTATCCTGGAAGACGACCTCCTGCAGGAGAATTCTGTCCCACCAAGTCATCCGCTGTTGCTGTCGGACTTGCATAGACTCTTGCCTTGTCTCTGTGCAAATAAACCTACCTTTTAACTGCACCTCCTGGTGTGTCTGGGCCCTCGCTCCCTGACATGTTCCCTGCACAGGATTGGGTATTCTTTGCAAAATGGAATTTCACACATTCAATAAGCACTGGGCAAATTTCCTGGCAAAGTGAACAGCTATTTGCCTCATAACCTTTCACCTGGCACCTCCCGGCCCTTTAAGAGTTTCAGAAGCCGGGAGGCGGGGCGGGTTTAGGGTCATGTGACCGCCATGACGTGTCGTCACGGCGGTCAAAATGATCGGGAAAGGTCCTGATCGAAAGATGAGATCGGGACCTTTCCGTGAGTACTGGACATGTGTGCTGGGAAGTGCACACATGTCCAGTAACTTTTTTTGGGTTTTGTGTGGAATTAGTAAGATTTGGCTTTTTGTTTCTCCACTTTTTTGTGTTACCGATACAAACGAAAGAAACATGAGAATGCCGAAACATTTGTAACTGCAGCAATTATCTGGGGGAAGTGGTGCGTTATCTGACAGAAATGCAGGGGGGGGGGGGTGGAAAGATTTTTTTCATATGGGTCCAGTGTTGCATGACCGCGCAATTGTCATTCAAAGTGTGATAGCGCTGAAAGCTGAAAATTGGCCTGGACTGGAAGGGGCGGGGAAGCAGTGTTCGGATTGGAAGGGGGGGAAAGTGTTTCGGATTGGAAGGGGGGGGGGAAAAGTGTCCGGGGGAAGGGGGTGAAAGTGTCCGGACTGGAAGGGGGGGGGAAGTGTACCACACTGGAAGGGGGGGAGAAAGTGTCCGGACCGGAAAGGGGGTGGAAAGTGTCCGGACTGGAAGGGGGGGGGAAAGTGTTGGACTGGAAGGGGGTGAAAGTTTCGGACTGGAAGGAGAGGCTTTTCCCCCCCCCCCCAGACTAGATTTGTGTGAAGTGTCCGGACTGGAGGGGGGTGAAAGTGTCCGGACTGGAAGGGGGTTGAAAGTGTCCAGACTGGAAGGGGGGGGGTGAAAGTGTCCGGACTGGAAGGGGGGGGTAAGTGTCCGGACTGGACTGGAATATGTGGGTGGTGGGGGTATAAAAGTGTCCGGACTGGAAAGGGTATGGGATGTGAAAAGTGTCCAGAGGAGTTTTTTGGAAGGGGGGGAAAGTGTCCGGACTGGAAGGGGGGGAAAAGTGTCCGGACTGGAAGGGGGTGGTTGAAAAGTGTCCGGACTGGAAGGGGGTGAAAATGAGTTTTTTTCCAGACTGGAAATATGGCCAGAGGCCTCGGGGGGTGAAAAAAGTGTCCGGACTGGAAGGGGGGGAAAGTGTCCGGACTGGAAGGGGTGTGAAAGTGTCCGGACTGGAAGGGGTAAAGTGTCCGGAATGGAAGGGAGTGAAATGTCCGGACTGGAAGGGGGGGGAAAGTGTCCGGACTGGACAAAAACTGGAAGGGGGGTGGTAAAAAGTGTCCCAGAGTGGAAGGGGGGGAAAGTGTTCCGGACTGGAAGGGGGGGAAAGTTGTCTGGAATGGAAGGGGGGGGGGGGAATACCCAATGGAACGGGAGTTGTCGGACTGGAATAAGGGGGGTGAAAGTGTCCGGAAAGGAAGGGGGGGGGGAATTGTCCGGACTGGAAGGGGGTGAAAGTGTCCGGACTGGAAGGGGTTGAATGTTTGTTGTCAGGAATGGTTGTCTGCACAGGATTGGGTATTCTTTGCATAATGGAATTTCGCCACATTCAATAAGCACTGGGCCAAATTTCCTTGCAAAGTGAACAGTTATTTGCCTTAAGTAAATTCAGTGGCATCCCTAGGGGGGTGCGGGCCGAACCGGGTGACAACCATCACAGGGGGTGCAGGAGCAGGATGCCGGCCACAGGTGACAGCTTGCCCCCACCCCCTGGTGTAGCGGTAAAATGAGTATCCCTTGAAAGATATGTATCCGCTGAAGCAACTGCGCATGTGACGTTTTCAGGCCGAAGAAGCGATCGTCCGGCTCTGTGTAATGTTGGAGATCGGCTTCTTCGGCCTCAAGCCGGCACATGCGCAGTTGCTTCAGCGGATACATATCTTCAAGGGATACTCATTTTACCCGCTACCTACCGGCACCGCTCCTTCCTCTCTGGAGGGGTGACCACGTGTTAACCGCACCAGGTGACACCAACCCTATTTTAGGAAACGCCTCTGAGTAAATCAACCCAACTGACTTCACAAAATGGGGCAAAGGCAAGTAGGGTTTGCAAGGTCTCAGCTACCAGCCTGTAAGATCTTACAAGTCAGTGGGGCTGTCTAGGGCAGTTGGCGGTTGAGGAGAGCGATACACAAATTTTCCAGTAGACACCCCCTGGAGCCCCTACTCATTGATGGTGACAGTCGAGCCATTGGTTCCACTTATTTTTTTCCAAGGGGGTGGTGTTGCACCCAACACCCCCTATTCATGGAGGGGTGCCAATAAATTTTGTCTCAGTAACCATTTTTTTGTTCCATGGATAAGTCAGATTTGGCTAATTTTAAAACCGTCGTTCTCCCTCCCCCCCCTTTGGTTTTAACTGTATCCCAATACAAACAAAAGAAACCTAAAACTTTTGCTGCGAAACATCGGAGCTATTGCAGCAGGGAGGGGATTTGCAAGCTGATTTATAGCCTGGCGGGGAATTCATTATTACTGAAAGATTCCCCCATAGGTTGGCCTACATCCTGAGTATAATTTCGAGGTGAACTCCCCTTTTTTATTCCCCCTTAACTTTTGCCCCCTAGAATACCCTCCTGTGTGGGTTGGTAGTACCTGGAGTTCACCCCCCCCGATAGTTCACGTACCTCTGGCAATCCAGTAATAACCATGTATAATACATAAGGGGGGATATGATCTCCATGTATAATACATAAGGGGGGGATCTGATCTCCATGTATAATACATAAGGGGGGATATGATCTCCATGTATAATACATAAGGGGGGATATGATCTCCATGTATAATACATAAGGGGGGATATGATCTCCATGTATAATACATAAGGGGGGATATGATCTCCATGTATAATACATAAGGGGGATATGATCTCCGTATGATCTCCATGTATAATACATAAGGGGGGGATATGATCTCCATGTATAATACATAAGGGGGGATATGATCTCTCATGTATAATACATAAGGGGGGGGATATGATCTCCATGTATAATACATAAGGGGGGATATGATCTCTCCATGTATAATACATAAGGGGGGATATGATCTTCCATGTATAATACATAAGGGGGGGATATGATCTCCATGTATAATACATAAGGGGGGGATATGATCTCCATGTATAATACATAAGGGGGGATATGATCTCTCATGTATAATACATAAGGGGGGATATGATCTCCATGTATAATACATAAGGGGGGGATATGATCTCCATGTATAATACATAAGGGGGGGATATGATCTCCATGTATAATACATAAGGGGGGGATATGATCTCCATGTATAAAATACATAAGGGGGGGGATATGATCTCCATGTATAATACATACATAAGGGGGGATATGATCTCCATGTACAACCATCACAAAATCCCCCACCATTTAATCCACATCACATAACCCACACACCCCCCATTTTAACATAAAAAACCCACCCCACCCCCCCCAAATCAACCCTACACAACCCACCAATACACCACCCACCCACCTTTTTTCACATCACACCCCCACACCCCCACCACACACCCCAAACATCATCAACATCAACCCATACACACCACCCACCTTTCACATCACACACATACACCACCACCACCCACACACCCCATACACCCCCCCAAAAATCACCATCACCAACCACCCACATCACAAACACCAAACACCACCACACCACCCACACATACACCACCCACCCCCACCCACACACCCATACACCCCACCCCCACAAAACCACATCACACCCATACACCACCACACCACACCACACACCCATACAAACACACCACCCAAACCACATCAACCCCCCCACACCACCCACCTTTTTTTTCACACCACCCATACCACCACCCCCCCCACATCACAACCACCACCACCCCACCACCACACATTTCCACACATCACACACCACCACCCCACACCACACACATCACCCATACACCACCCCCCACACAATTTTCAATCACCCCACCTTTTTTCACACACCCACCACACCACCCACCCTTTTCATCACACCCATACACCACCCACCTTTTTTCACATCACACCCCCAACCAACCACCACCTTTTTTCACATCACCACCCCCACCACCACCACACCACATCACCCCCCCCCCACACCACCCCCACACATAACATCACCCCATCCCACCACCCACCACCACCCACCCACCCCCCACACACACCCATACACCACCCACCCCCAAATCACCCATACC